GTGGACGGTTTTGGGGGAGCATATGGATACACAAAAAGGGCCCAGGAACTAGGCCCAAAGGGGTTTAAAAGGAATACATATGGATTTAATCTACAATTTAGTTCACTTTCTGTTACGCAATTTTGGGAAAATTTTCTTAGTATATCTGGATTTTTTTTTCTTAATAAGTTTTCTTAAAGTCAATAGGTTATTATTGTCTGTCTCGTATTCCCCATAAGGGACAATTAAGCACATAGTGTTAAGAGAGTGACCATATGCCCGAAACATAAAATTTAAATTTAGTTTGACATATTGTGGTTCCCAAACTGCCAGAAGTACTTGTAACCAGCCTAAGCCTGGCCCTACAACATCGCAGTTGTTCACTTACAAGTTGCCCTAAACTACTTATCTTGTTCTGTTTGTCATAGTGGGTTTAGATCTTCAGGTTCTAACTGCTTCCCTTAACAATCATCTTCATTATTTTACTTCTCTCCTAATATTATTCCTAATGCTAGACACAGTTATACCAAAGTTATATTCTACGTTCTCCTTCTGGATACTCTTCTTGGCTAACATATCAACTTTATCATGAAGGAGTAATCCAATGTGTGATGGGATCCATATAAGAGGTAGATCTATAAGAAACAAACTTTAACACATTCTTGTCTCTTAATTTCTGTCTATAAACATTATAAACACTATGTGTATATATACTCAGACAAACTGAACATCAATTGGGTTAGTTGTTGTCTTGGTCAGCAATTTTCGAGATTGGAGCAGTGGGTGCCGGGTACCATCCCGCGTTTTCTTGTTGGGTGAGTCACCCAGCTCCCGTTTTCTTTGGGTGAATGCTTGGGGAGTGCCCATTTTCTTTTGGCTGCCCATTCTCTGTGATTGAGTCTGGAGGGACTCATTTATACTGATTTATATTGTAAAACATATAGTTTATCAGCTTTTTTCGAAGGACTTGGCTCATCGGTATTTTGTACACTGGATGACAAACATATTTGGACACAGTGTGGCTTTTCCAGTTCGAGCCGACCAATTATGTTGAGTAAGAAATGGCATTACCAGTAAGTTTAGAAACAGTGAACACTTAAACTTAAAGACAACTCATCGCTGCACAGCCGCCCCTGCAGAGAGGTCTTGAAGCTGTCCGAAAACCATCTCACAACGGGCTGTCAAGAAATATAATTTGTAAGATTATAAATTACCCCTAGGGGTGTTATGTCAGCTTTCATTCACTGATGGCTGAAAAACTTACTTGTTTGGACTAAAAAGTCCACCCTTTACTCCCGACTATAGGTTATTACAAACCCTTGCGACCCAAGAACTGCGCAGTCCCCCATTCTACAAGAAATTGTAACATACCTTGTCTTGTAGGTGAGTAGGTGTTTCACCCTTCGACAGGTATGGGGTGACTTGATAGAAGCTGAAGGTCCTTGGGATGTCCACGTCTTCCATTGTCGGGGAAAGCCACCTATGTTCCAAGATTTGTCTTTTTGTTCCAATTTTAAACATGAAGAAGGATCCATTCTCTAAGTGTTTATTGTGTTTTATGAGACACTTTGTTCACCTAACGCAAATCGTTTTTCTTTGTTGGTTACCTGGGGTTGTGTCCTCTCAGTAGAGTCAAAAGTAATTGAAAACGCCCCAGGCCCCCTCCGTCACGCCCCTTGCACAAAAAAAAAGCTGACCTAGACTTTTTGCTTCCCTTTCCCCTTCCCCGGAAGCAAGCAGAAGGGTTTATTCTTTCTGTTTAAACTAGACAACAAAGTCCACTATCTTTACTATGGTAATGAAGTGGGGAGGATTTTCCTTTTAAATTTTCCCCGTAAAATAAGGAAAGTACTGTCTCTTTTAAAATACACCTGCAAACGAGCAAGGAGCAATGGTCGGTTGACCACAGGTGCTACTGTCGGCATCTGTGATCAATTACTCACTGTAGCAGTAAAAAAAGACCTTGCCCCCTTTGAGAGGGAGGGCCCCCCAGGGCTGAAAGGGGGTGAAGGGGGTGAAGGGGGGGTTTACCCCCCCCCTGGAGAAAAATTTCTCAACAATGTCGCCAATTTTTTAAAAAAAAAATTATTTTTTTTTATGAAAAGATAGAGAAACTTTTCCCCATGGTAATGGCACCAAAAGTTTTAAAAATTTGGTCGAAAACTTATGGGAAATTTTGCTCCCCCGAATTAGCGGTCTCGGCGACTAGCTATCGGCGATTTCGCGACTTTGACCCCTTTTTTAGCCAAATTTCCCTTTTTTCCAGTTGCCAAACTATAGCTATTTCTTAGAATCCATTCTATCTATCATGAGTACAAGAAACCTCCCATTTACTAATTTGGGGCTACCCCAATATGGTGGTCAGAAATTGGGAATTGGCCAATTTCACACAAACTAAAAAAAGATGCCAATTTCAAAAAAGGGTCCAGAATAAACAAGGTAGACATTCGTGGCACTAAAATAACATATGCTCTATTCATTAGTCACATCTCTAGGCTCCTCTTTTATTATTATTGCTTTCTATTTTGATTTTTTTATCATACAAAAAAATACAAAATTTACTGTTATGCAGACTACTGCATTACTGTAAAAATGGTATAAAATAATATCAGTGCACTAGTGAAAGAATATTAGACTCCCCAGTTGACGTGTATTGGACGTGTGGTGTGATTTATTTACTCCTGAACATTGGTAAAAATCGAACATTTCTGCTACTTTTAGCTCAGTTTCAAGGTCGTTTTCATTATCAAAGTAATGAAAATCATCTCTATTTTTGTAATATGTTTTCCATTTTATCACCTAAGACCATGAAAACGTGAATACAACGATAAATACTATACGAAAATACACCTCAAGTCGGCGTTTTATTCCAAAAAAACGATGTTTTTTTTTTTTCTCATTACGCAATGTGTGCTGCAGGATTTTTTTTATGTGGTGCACACTGACCACACAGACCCATTCTCTCACATGTAGGCCTACCAGCTTTCTCCACTTGATTTGAAGCCGCTAGAATTATTGAGTATATATACGTCAGAAACATTGACTCGTAAGACGTATTTTTTACGTCGAAAACAATCAAAGGGTTAAGGACGTGTTTCCATAAGACACCTGCTGTCCTTGTTCACCCATCAGTTTAAAATGGGTACCTGTGTGTTAGTGGACTGGTGTGGGTCGCATCCTGGGGCAAAAACTGACCTAATTTTGTGGGAAATGCGCATCATAACAAGCAGCTTCTGTATAGTAGTATGTCAATGATGTCAGCTGGAATTATCGTAAAGATAATTTTGGGATGATAGCAAAATTTTGCCAAAACCGTTACCAATGTTCAATCTTGGGTTGATACAGATACCATCAAAATTAGATGATACTGTCTGATACTGTACTAATACCATAAAAATTAGCTGTTACTAAAATTGGGATACTGTACTTTAGGGTAATACTGATACCACCCAAAATCAGATGATATTGATACTTTGGCACATCCATTAATTGAATAATATTAATACAATTATTTAGCTTCATTGGGTTCTAGGTTTATGTACTCACCACTTATTACATTATAAGCCTATAATGTGTTCAGTGCCAACTGTTGAAAAAAAAAAAAAAAATACTAATTTGTAAGTACAGTAATGTATAATAATATTTAGACTTCAGAAAGGGTTTCATATAAGAAACTTTTTGTATCTGCGGGAGCTGAGTGATGTTGTTGGGCTTGTTCCCTCAAGGAAGGTTCCTTGATACCAGTCAGATGATCATTATCTAAGGAAATGGGGCCTGTGTTTCCCCCTTCCTTGGATTGAATCAGAATGCCTCCCATTTCTCAAACAGTGTATGACTTCTGCTCACTTAGTGCTTTCCCCATGAATGTAATATTATTAATAATAATAATAATAAAAATAATAATAATAATAATTTAAAAAATAATAATAATAATAATAATAAAATTTTTGCTCCTGATTTCAGAATTTATTGTCTTTTTTTATATCTTATGGTTATGGCACTTGCTACTTTTATTTATTTATTTATTTATTTATTATTAATTTGGACATGATACATAGAAGTACAAAGAAATACAGTGGTTAAGTGTAACATGCCAAAAGCCCCTTGTATGCAGAACATTATGGGCAGGCTGAAAATTAACTTAAGATTAACTAAGCAATGATATATTCAGTGGTAAAAATTATAGTAAACAAGTAACAATTAAGCACAAATGAGTATTTCAAAGACAGGTCATATGGCCATTTGCTGAGTTGCTGTGCATTCAATAGAATGGAGTATTCTGTTAGGTAATGTAATTAAAAAAACAAAGTTTGATAGGGTCACAGGTTATACATGTAAGAAGAGACTTGAATTTATAAACAGACAGTGTTTCTTTTATATTCACAAGTAATGAATTCCAGATTTTTGGGCCTTTTATGTGCATTGAGTTTTTGCTTAGTGTGAGATGGACACGAGGAACATCAGAGTGATCTGTGCCTTGTGTTATGGTCATGTGTTCTGTTGAGGTTGGTAAGGAGACGTTTGAGGGGAGGATTTATATCCGAGTTAAGTGTTCTGTGTATGTAGTAGGTACAATAATAAGTATGGATGTTTTGTATGGTGAGTAGGTTTAGAGTTTTGAATATTGGTGGAGTATGCTGCCTGTAGTGGGAATTTATCATTCTGACTGCAGCCTTTTGTTGGGTAATTAATGGTCTGAGATGGTTTATTGTTGTTGAGCCCCATGCACAAATTCCATAGGTGAGATAGGGGTAAATAAGTGAGTGATATAGGGCTAGGAGAGCTGACTGTGGAACATAGTACCGTATCTTTGAAATTTTCCTGGAAATTTGTTGTACATGTGTTTGAAATTTGAGTCTATTATCAAGGTGGATTCCTAAGAATTTTCCCTCTGTGAGCTTTGTTATTATCAAGGTGGATTCCTAAGAATTTTCCCTCTGTGAGCTTTGTGATAGGTGATTCATTTATCATTATGTTAAGAAGGACATCTGTATCTCTGTTTCCAAACTGAATGAAGTAGGTTTGTTCAATGTTGAGAGTAAGTTTGTTAGTCATCATCTAGGTAGATATTTTCTGTAATTCGGTATTTACAATATTGGCTAGCATGACTGGGCTTGGGTGAAAGAAGAAGAATGTAGTGTCATCTGCAAATAGTGTGGGTTTGAGTAGTTGCGATGCATTTGGTAGGTCATTTATGTAAACGAGAAAGAGAAGAGGGCCAAGGACCTCTTCCTCAGTTTGCAGTTATGGCTTCTTGTTCTCTCTCTTGCTGTCATTAAGAATCTTCTTTATCTATTCTTCAAGGTCTTTTTAATACAGTGCTGAATAGTCCCATGATTAAAGGACTTTGGTATAGCTTTCAGTCTCACAAGTGGGGTGACTGAAAAAAAAATGAAAGAAAAGTTTGTTTATACATTTAGTAATTTATACAGAAGGGGTAACCAGCTCCTTTCTCCTAGCATTTTATTCCCCTCATACAACACACATGGCTTATGAAGGAAGAATTCTCCTCTTTCCCATTTAGGCTACTTTACAGTTATCTTGGCTGATATAATCTGGGTGGTAGGGAGCACTGTTTAGGAAGAGGAAGGCTTTAAATAGTAATTAATTGTACTTCAGTTCAAGATCTTTATCTCCCACAGGCATTTTCTGTTTTCTAATTATTTTACAATAAGGCGAAGAAAAGAAATAACACAGTTACTGTATATTACACCACAGAATGCTACCTCCATAAGCCATGCATGTCATAAGAGGAAACTAAAATGCCAGAACAAGGGGCTAGATTTACTAACCTTTTTTTTTTTTCTTGGTTCACAAAATTTAAAAAAAAAATTCTTGCAGACAAAATGCTGTTTCTTTGGAGGAGGAGAGTTCAGTTGTTACTGCAACGACTATATAACCTACCATGTAGTACAAGGTAAGAGCAAAAGTACTTGTGAAATCAGTATAATTATATTAGTAAAGATATATTTTTCATTTACTATTGTTATTAGGGACCCACATGTGGAAAGGCTCCAGAGCCCAGTCTAGATGCATAAAATTGTTGAAATTACCTCTAACTAATAGGGAAACTAATTATCATCCTCATGTAACAAATCGGATAATTTTTATGCCTTCCCAAGGCATACATCTCACTTTATATATGAAGTGCCTTCCAAATGTATACATCTCACTTCCCAAGGGGAGGTGAGATGAGATCTCATCTCAGTTCCCAAGGGAAGTGAGATGAGATGTGAAGCTGTGTAGTTCCAGACATGGGAGCAAGTGGTTTTCAGTTGCTCATAAGTTGGAATAATGACTGTTTGGCCTTACATTAAAAAAATACCGTAAAAAAACTATGAAAAATACAGCAAAATTCATAAGAGTTAAGTCTTAGAATTGACCAATCTATACCATACTTGAAACACATCCAAATCCCTCCAGTGTTCCTGTGTTTGAACTGGTTAATGTAACTGGAAAATATATTATGGTAAATGAAACAGTATTGTATTTGTATATGGTGGTAAGGTATGGGTATTTTAATGTTGAAAGCATATTTTTCTTTGTTCTCTCTTTCCATGGGGGTGTCTTAATGCTAGAGAAGGACTTGATCCAAGGAATTTAAAGCACATAATGGTAGTACTGTATTTTCTGGTGTTAACCTGATTACCTCTCATTCCCCATGCAATGTATGACCCTTATGGGTACAGACTAACAGCTTTTCAGTACAGTGAACCCTTGAATTAATGGACTAATAGCGATGGGAGGGGTGTACATTATTGCCAGTTGTCCATAGATTCCAAGTTATGAAATGAATTTCATAACTTGGAATCTATGGACAACTGGCAATAATGTACACCCCTGTAAAAAGAACACAATACTATGCAAGTATCATAAATAAAAATACATAAAGTTTAAAGTACTGTACAATAGTACTATACATGTACAGTGCTACTGTACAGTATAATACAGCCTCTCCTCACTTAATGCTATATAGCCCTTGTGGTTTAGCACTTCTTTTTGATTATAATAATAATAATCCTCACTTAATGATGGTGTTCCGTTCCTAAGACCATGTTGGTAAACAAATTTGTCCCTAAGCAAAGAGCATACTATAATGGTAGTGGGTTTGTGTCAACCATCTTTGATATTGTTTTAATCTCACCTTTGCACCATTTATAACATTTTTAGTATAATTTTAAATGTTTGTACAGTAGTTTACTGTATATTGTAATAAACAGAATAGAGGAAATCAGCTCTAATATACATTATTTAGGTATGCATACTGGTCAGAGAGCCTGTCTTAGGTCCGAGTTGTCGGTTAACAAGTACGTCGCTCAGTGAGGAGTGGCTGTAGTACTGTTGTACAATACTGTACATGTTCAGTATGTATACTAGTTTTACAGTAACTTACAGTAATTTTACTTATCTTATACTTTAAGGTGGAGAGATGAAGTAGTATACAGTAAACTGGCACAGATCCTTGCCACTGAGATACAACACTGAACCTTCCTTATTAAGTAGTTCAAGTTTCTTCTTAGCACTGAGATTTATATGTATCCTCTGGGAACCACCACTTTAGAAAACACCATTAACCCTCTAAACCATCTATTATTATTATGAGGCTCGTATCGCTCACCCGGTACCAAGTCTCCAGCCCCTGACTGCAGCAGCATCTTTGAGTTGTGCTCACGCCACTCGATCGGTCTGTGAATGGGAAGAAAGCTCCAGAACAACAAACCACCATCAGTTTGATTTTGGTCGTACATAGACGTCTTACGAGCCAGTGTTTCGGACGTATTAATATGCATAAATTCTAGCGGCTTCAGATCAAGCAGGAGAAAGCTGGTAGGCCACATGTGAGAGAATGGGTCTGTGTGGTCAGTGTGCACCACATAAAAAAGTCCTGCAGCAGGCAGTGCATAATGAGAAAAAAAAAACTGACCATTTTTTTGGATGGAAAGTGCCGACTTTGAGGTATATTTTCGTATGGTATTTATGGTTGTATTCTCGTTTTCATGGTCTCGTGTGATAAAATGGACAACATATTACAGAAATAGAGATGATTTTGATTAGTTTCACGATGAAAACGACCTTGAAATTGAGCTCAAAATAGCAGAAATGTTTGATTTTTACCAATGTTCAGGAGTAAGCAAATCACACCACACGTCCAATACACATCAACTGAGGAGTCTAATATTCTTTCACTAGTGCACTGATATTATTTATACCATTTTTACAATAATGCAGTAGTCTGCATAACAGTAAATCTTCTATTTTTTGTATGAATAAAAAATCAGAATAGAAAGCAATAGTAATATAAGAGGGGCCTAGGGACGTGACTAATGAACAGAGGATATGTTATTTTAGTGCCAAGAATGTCTACATTGTTTATTCTGGACCCTATTTTGAAATTGGCATCTTTTTAAATTTGCATGAAATTGGCCAAATTGCCAATTTCTGACCACTTTATTGGGTAGTTCAGATCGGTAAATGGGCAGTTTCTTGTACTCAACTGATAGAAAAAATGGAGTTCTAAAGCAATAGCTATGAGTTTGGTCAACTGGAAAAACGTAATTTGCCAAAAACAGGGCTCAAAGTCGGCGAAATTACCGATGCGTATATGTTGCCAAGACCGCTAACTTCGCGGGAGTGTAACCTTGCGAGTTTTCAACCAAATATCATACTTTTGGTGTCATTACCATCGGGAAAAGATTCTATCATTTCATAAGAAAAAATAATCTTTTTTTTTTTTTTCCAAAAATTTTGCGACATAGAATGACAGTTTCAGAAAGGGGCTTGTGACAGTCGAAGGGTTAATTGCACTTTACTTAATATGTTAATATAGTCACGCAAAACATTGTAAATCCAGAGAGAATTGGAGACTGAATGACAAGTGTGTGCTGAGTGAGCACAGACAATAAACTGATGCAGGTTGCACATGACTCTGGGAACTATGAAAATGGACAGGTCCTGGATGAGCACACACTGTCCTGTTTTGAACAAATGTTGGAACCATCAGACTTGGTTCAGAAGACTACTGGACACTATTGCTATGAACAGAATCTGGAATCCGTGGACTTTTTCATTTTATCCGATGATTCTAATGTTCATCTGGCCAGCTTTTTTATCCATAGTATCCAAAAGCCATTCAATGGGGGTCCGTTAATTGAAGGCTTACTGTACTGTACATTACCTGGTCTGCTTTTTTTTCTTCTAAATATATAACTGCAAACTTATATTTCTATGCAATAATTCCTGTTAGAGATAAGAAGTACTTGTACAATAAATGGCATTGAAACACTACTGGAATGCTAGTGGGCATTTAAGTTTATGCTTGATTTTAGTAAATGAGTCACTCTGACTCATTTACTAAATGAGTCACCCTGTGATTCATTTACTAAATGAGTCACTCTGTGACTCATTGACTAAACCTGTATGAGTCACTCTGTGACTCATACAGGTTTAGTGCTTATTTCCTGAATGTTTGAATAATTTAGTAGTAAATGCATTGAAGATATAATTTCTGCATTTTATCATGCCAGTCATTCTGTTTTAACTTACGATACATTTTAACAACAAAATCTATTATTTAATGGTTGGCAAGTTCCTTTACTTTGTGTAGTAGACTTTTTTAATTTCCAGGAAATGGCTGCGATGGAAGTATGATCTGTTCATTTTAACAATGAAAGCATTATTCTACAATGAATTCGTTAATATGTCATACGTACTAGAAGTTTTCATGGAGCCAATGGTGTGGATTGTGGACCACTTCACAAAGGTTCTTGGACCTGTAAGTATTACTGGCACTGAAGTAATATTTACATTTATTTAACCCTTTGACTGTTGCAACCCCAAATCCTGAAGTGTCTCCTGGTGTCGAAAATATTAAAAAAAAAAAAATTATTTTTTTCTTATCAAAATGTTAAGATTAGTTTTCTGATTGTTTTAAGCCCCCCCCCCCCCCCAAAAAAAAAAAAAAATTGTGATCAGTACTTACAGAGACATAGAGGAGTAAGGTTGGCAGAAAATGAGCCACATATGGCAACAGCGGTGAATGCCGCTCACCCAGTAAACTTTGGTTTACTTTCATTTGAAGGTTCCTTGTTTTTTTTTTTTCACTTTTTTATTTTTCACATAACTTAGGTGGCCTGTGAGACCAAAGTAAGGTGAAATGTACATATATACACTCCTTGTATGTAGCACAATAATCGCACAAATATTAGTATCATTATATTGTTTACAAAACTTGTTTACACAAACGAACAATATAAAATTTTTTTTATTACTATTGTTCTGTAATATATATATACTAATGTACAATCACTGGACACTTTCCTAAAACTGCTGCAGCTTGTGGAATTCTTTGAAACATGGGTGTATGCACAATGATGTTTTACACTCCTCACACCTAAAACGAGTGTCTCTGCGTTTTTGTGGGCTTTTTTTTTTTTTTTTTTTTTTTTTTTTTTTTTTTTTTTTTTTTTTTTTTTTTTGTGTGTGTGTGTGTGTGTGTGTGTGTGTGTGTGTGTGTGTGTGTGTGTGTGGTGGTGTGTGTGTGTGTGTGTGTGTGTGTGTGTGTGTGTGTGTAACAAACTGGCCATATCCCACCAAGGCAGGGTGGCCCAAAAAGAAAAAAGAAAGTTTCTCTTTTTAAATTTAGTAATTTATACAGGAGAAGGGGTTTCTAGGCCCTTGTTCCCAGCATTTTAGTCACCTCTTACAACACGCATGGCTTACAGAGGAAGAATTCTGTTCCACTTCTCCATGGAGATAAGAGGAAATAAACAAGAACAAGAACAAGAACTAGAAAGAAAATAGAAGAAAACCCAGAGAGGTGTGTATATATATGCTTGTACTACATGTATGTGTAGTGTGACCTAAGTGTAAGTAGAAGTAGCAAGACGTACCTGAAATCTTGCTTGTTTAAGAGACAGAAAAAAGACAGCAGCAATCCTACCATCATGTTAGGTAGTTATCCTAGGTAAATGGTCATGTGTCATCATTCCTACCTACCTACCTATCTTTCTTTCTTTCCTCATTCTTTATTTCTTTCATTCTTTCTTTCTTTCAGTCTTTCTTCATTGTTTCTTCATTCATTCCTCCCTTCCTTCTGGTTTCTATAATATATATACACATATATAGTCACTGGACACTTATATAGAACTGCTATTATTATCTTCTGGAAGCTTGTGTTTTGTGTGTGTGTGTGGGGGGGGGATGAACTCCTAAATGTGCTGAGTCAGGGTATGGCAGCTGTCAAAATGACGTATTACTGCCTGTCAACACCCATGGGATCCCATGCCTTCCTCCTCACCTCCTTTTGTAACTACCTACCATTCCTTCTTTATTTATTTTTCTTTCTCTTTCTTTCTTTTTCTTTCTCTTTCTTTCTTCCTCTTTCTTTTTCTTTCTCGTTCCTTTCCTTATCTTTCCTTCTTTATCTTTCTGTCCTTTTTTCTCCTTCTTTCTTTCTCTTTCTTTATTTCTCTTTCTTTATTTATCTTTCTTTATTTCTCTTTCTTTCTTTCTTCTGGTATCCTGGGCATTGTTTTCAGTCACAAACTCCTCAAAAACATGAAATTCATCTTCACTGACACTTCCATCTGTGTTAGAGCAATCACTTGGGAAGAGAAGAGTCCTAGATTTGCCAGGGAGTCACATATTTCTTACCACTAGGCATGCTGAACAAGGACTACTGAAATGGCATTCCTACAATGCACCACTGGCTCCCCGATTTTTTTTATACTGTACACACTGACCATGAAGACCCATTCTCTCACATGTGGGCCTACCAGCTTTCTCCTGCTTGATTTGAAGCCACTAGAATTTTGGCCTATTAGTACGCAAACACATTGGCTCGTGAAATGTAGTATATAGTATTCGACCGAAACAGTCAAAGGGTTAATCATGAATCCCCAGCACACTCATGTTTTTAAATGCTGTCTAAATTTTGTTGGTTTATAAACCTTTCGGTTGTTTTAGAATAGTGTATACATTATTTGTCATATGTACTTTAGTAATCTAATAACACATACATATACAGCTGTACTTGGAACTATTCAGTACAAAATCTATAATTTGTCTCACTGGTAAAGAGCAATTTAATATATTTTAAGGTTGAATTCAGCATATTGCTCAGTGAAATTTAGACTGAACATGAAATAAGTAGTTGTACTTGTATTAAAATTGAACTTTTACTGAACATGGGCAAGTTTTCCTTTTCTTATGAACATATTTAGTGTTAATTGAAAGGAATAGAGTGTAGAAGAAAGTAAGAAAGATAGAAAAGTGAATATCTTTTTCTTCTTTCAACAAACTGCTGTATCCCACCAAAGCAGGGTGGCCCATAAATAAAAAAGTTTCTCTTTTTAACTTTAGTAATGTATACAGGAGAAGTGGTTATTAGCCCCTTGCTCCTGACATTTTAGTCGTCTCTTATGACATGCATGGCTTACGGAGGAAGAATTCTGTTCCACTTCCCCATGGAGATAAGTAAATATATAGTTGTTTGCAATGTGTGTTATTGGGTGTGTATTTGGAAAAAATCAAATTTTCAAAAAAGTAAATATAACCCCGTAGCCTGGCTAGCAAAGCTCTCGGGTTTGATTCCTGGTGGGTTAGAAACATTTCAATGCATTTCCTTACACCTGTTGTCGTGTTCACCTAGCAGCAATTAGGTACCTGGGTGTTAGTCGACTGGTGTGGGTCACATTCTGGGGGACAAGATTGAGTACCCCAATGGAAATAAGTTAGGCAGTCTTCGATGACGCACTGACTTTCGTGGGTTATCCTGGGTGGCTAACCCTCTGGGGTTAAAAATCCAAATGAAATCTTTTCTTATCTTAACTCTAAATATATTTATAAAGTTATTACAATAACTGTTTAAGTAAGTAAATTTATTTACACACAGGTACACACAAGTACAATTATCATTCATAGTGTAAATTACCTAGGATAACCCAGACATGTCAGACAAAGTGACTTATTTCCATTTGCAAAATGGCTGTCCATACATGTAAAACTCTCACCTTGTATTAGATTATCATGATGAAAGATGTGACTTTGTGGGGAAATGTGATGGAAGTTTGGTTAACCCTTAAATGGTCCAAACGTATATATACGTTTTTTCAACATCTGAAAATATGTAAAAAAAATGTAGATCTTTTTTGTTTTACATTTGAAAACGTGTAAAAAAAACTTTTATCTACATTTTTTTTTTATATTTGAAAATATGTAAAAAAAAGTAGATCTACTTTTGGAGCACTACGAATTTGAACGTCGATCTGTTTGGACCGTTTAAGGGTTAAAGACAAGCAATAGTGAAACTTTGTTTCATCTCTAAATTATAACAGTGGTGTATCTATCTTTTCTTGTATAATTCAGCAAAATAGAATGCCCCATATTTGAGCAACACAGGAAAAATGTATGTAGGTACTGAGCACAGGCTCTCCATTAATGCTAGGTAACATAAATTGCTAAGCTGCCTTCTTTCCCATATTTATCTTTTAGTATGAAATGAAGTAACTCTGCTAAATTGAATTCATCTTCATGTTTATATTTAATATTAGAGCAAAGGGTTGAAGCCCCAGTATTTAAGACATGAGAAGATGAAAAGAGTAAGAAAAGACTGACAGGTCATTAAAAGAATTGCAATGAGACTTCTCCTCAAAGAATATGATGGCAATTAACATCACCAAACAACTTAACCGGTGTGGATAAAAATGAAACCTAAAGCCACAGCATATTGAAATATGATGGGCATGAAGGAGAGAGGCTTAAGTAATTATGGAATGTAATCTACAGTGTAGTGTAGTATAGTTTGAACATTAAATCTAGTTCACAGAATTGTGAAGCATTATTGGAGAAGTGAAGGCCAGAAACAGAAGTTGAATACTGAACAAATGCAAATGAAGATGTTGAAATAATATTGTCATCATTTCTTGGAAGGATATTAGGTACTCACAAAGGATTGAGATGTGGAAGTTGCAAAATAAGCTGTTATGCCTTCAGTTATCTTTCATCTTCAAGGAAGAGGAAAGTGGTACATATTTAGCTCTCAGATGGGCTTATAATAGACAAGAAACCAAGTGGGTTTATTTTCTCTAAAACCTGTTTGATCCTTGTTAGTAAAGTTTCCAAAGACAATAAAAATTAGCAATTGATTAAAGTGAATCAAGGGTGAATCTCCTGTCTTGAAGATCATTATGCATGATCATTATGCACATTGGGGCTGTGCTTAGTGTCAACAGCTGCAGCTACACTGGCATGGGAATGTAAGCCAGTGCAGCCCTTGGTGGCTATGAAGGCTTCACTCCTCCAACAAGTAAACATGGCTGCTCATGAAAGGAACTTAGTATATGTATATGTCTAAAAGTATGATGATCTTGATATGCAATGGTGATTTTGAAACTGTACTGTACATTTTTTCTTTGCACTTTATATATAAATTTTACCATGTTTTGCCTTTCCTCCTCCTTTATACATAACATCAGCAATCATCATATGCCCATGTTTGACCCCTCACGCTCTTCTCATTTCAGCATTTCAGTAAGAATATAAATGTGAAAAAGAGTATGGACTTACTGTAGCATGTAATTTTATGTGTTGTGTGTACAGTATAGTATTGGTAAAATGAGTTTGTACATCTGTTGGTTTTCAGATCCTTGTTGGGGGAGTAATAACGTTAACTAGCTCAGTCGTTTCTATAGTTTACCATGTTTTGCCTTTCCTCCTCCTTTATACATAACATCAGCAATCATCATATGCCCATGTTTGACCCCTCACGCTCTTCTCATTTCAGCATTTCAGTAAGAATATAAATGTGAAAAAGAGTATGGACTTACTGTAGCATGTAATTTTATGTGTTGTGTGTACAGTATAGTATTGGTAAAATGAGTTTGTACATCTGTTGGTTTTCAGATCCTTGTTGGGGGAGTAATAACGTTAACTAGCTCAGTCGTTTCTATAGTTTACATCATTGGTCTACCCTACTATTGGCAGAAATCACCGATACTTACCTGTTTTCTAATTGTACTAGGACACTGGTTGTTAATAAATGTCATCTTCCACTTCACAATGGCAGCAATTACTGACCCAGGTACACCTCCAAAGGTGAGTTAATTTATGCTTAATTCATAGTGCCACATAAAATTCAGTATGTACTGTAATCCATGTTAATGAATAATTTTAAGGCAAAATTTCTAGGATTAATTAATTTTACTGAAAGAAATGTCATCATAAGTAAATACTGCACAAATGCATGTTGAACTTTGATGGGTTCTAAGCAGATATACTTATAACTTATGTTATAAATATATTTGCTTAGAACCCATTAGAGTTCAATATGCATTTCTGCAGTATTTACCTGTGAATACATATCTTTTAGCAAAATTAACTAATCCTAGAAAATTTACTTTAAAATTACTCATTAACATAGATATAGAATACATATAAAATAGAATATATAAAATTTATAGAACTTTTAGTTCTTCTAATAGAGTATCAAATAATACCTATTAAAACCATGTTAACCCCTAAACGGTCCAAATGTATATATACATACTCTTGCCCAGGTCCCCGAATATTTTGAAAAATAAAGAAATCTGTTTTTTTATTGAAATAAAGAAAATTTTTTTCTAAGTGTTATACGATTAAAATAAAAAAATTAGGGTCAGTACTACTGAGATATGAGGCTGCAAAGTTGGCACTTAATGCTCACCTGACGGCAACATCGAGTCCTACCGCTTGCAGAAGTGTTGCCGATATCCCTTTTTTTTGTTTTTTAACAAGATGGCCATCTCCCACCAAGGCAGGGTGACCCAAAAAGAAAGAAAATCCCCAAAAAGAAAATACTTTCATTATCATTCAACACTTTCACCTCACTCACACATAATCACTGTTTTTGCAGAGGTTCCCAGAATACAACAGCTTAGAAACATATACGTATAAATGACTCACGAAATCGTAATGACACGATTGCAAACAAACCATACCACAGGCGGGGATAGAACCCGCGATCAGAGAGTCTCAAAACTCCAGACCGTCGCATTAGCCACTGGACCAGCTAGCCACAATAAGATTCGTTCAACTAGGTATATTTCTACACCATAGGAAGGTTAGCATAGGCACCACTGTGACCACAAATGCAAGTTTTTACAGACGAATCTCCAGCTAGCATGGCTGTGACGAACTTTAGCTCAAGTCCCCACAAAGCCGTTAACATGACTCACAAAATCGTAATGACATGATTGCAAACAAACCATACCATGGGCGGGGATAGAACCCGCGATCAGAGAGTCTCAGAACTCCAGACCGTCGCGTTAACCACTGGACCAGCTAGCCACAATAAGATTCGTTCAACTAGGTATATTTCTACATCATAGGAAGGTTAGCATAGGCACCACTGTGACCACAAATGCAGGTTTTTACAGACGAATCTCCAGCTAGCGTGGCCGTGACGAACTCTGGCTCAAGTCCCCTCAAAGTCGTTAACATGACTCATGAAATCGTAATGACACAATTGCAGAAAAACCATACCACGGGCAGGGATAGAACCTGCGATCAGAGAGTCTCAAAACTCCAGACCGTCGCGTTAGCCACTGGACCAGCTAGCCACAATAAGATTTGTCCAACTAGGTATATTTCTACACCATAGGAAGGTTAGCATAAGCACCACTGTGACCACAGATGCAAGTTTTTACAGACGAATCTCCAGCTAGCATGGCCGTGATGAACTCTAGCTCAAGTCCCCTCAAAGTCGTTAACATGACTCACAAAATCGTAATGACATGATTGCAAACAAACCATACCATGGGTGGGGATAGAACCCGCGATCAGAGAGTCTCAAAACTCCAGACCGTCGCATTAGCCACTGGACCAGCTAGCCACAATAAGATTTGTCCAACTATGTATATTTCTACACCATAGGAAGGTTAGCATAGGCACCACTGTGACCACAAATGCAAGTTTTTACAGACGAATCTCCAGCTAGCGTGGCCGTGACGAACTCTAGCTCAAGTCCCCTCAAATCCGTTAACATGATTCACGAAATTGTAATGACACAATTGCAAACAAACCATACCACGGGCGGGGATAGAACCCACAATCAGAGAGTCTCAAAACTCCAGACCGTCACATTAGCCACTGGACCAGCTAGCCACAATAAGATTCGTCCAACTAGGTATATTTCTACACCATAGGAAGGTTAGCATAGGCACCACTGTGACCACAAATGCAAGTTTTTACAGACGAATCTACAGCTAGCGTGGCCGTGACGAACTCTAGCTCAAGTCCCCTCAAAGCCGTTAACATGACTCGAAATCGTAATGACATGATTGCAAACAAACCATACCATGGGCGGGGATAGAACCCGTGATCAAAGAGTCTCAAAACTCCTGACCATCACGTTAGCTAGCTGGTCCAGTGGCTAACGCAGCGGTCTGGAGTTTTGAGACTCTCTGATCGCTGGTTCTATCCCCGCCCGTGGTATGGTTTATATAAATGTAAAGATACACAACATATCCCTCCAAACTGCCAATATCCCAAACCCCTCCTTTAGAGTGCAGGCATTGTACTTCCCATTTCCAGGACTCAAGTCAGTCTATAAAAATAACTGGTTTCCCTGAATCCCTTCACTAAATATTACCCTGTTCACACTCCAACAGATCGTCAGGTCCCAAATACCATTCGTCTCCATTCACTCCTATCTAATATGCTCATGGGCGCTTGCTGGAAGTCCAAACCCCTCGTCTGCAATGCCTCCTTTACCCCCTCCCTCCAACCTTTTCAAGGACGAACCCTACCCTGCCTTCCTTCCCCTACAGATTTATACACTCTCAATGTCATTCTACTTTGATCCATTCTCTCTAAATGACCAAACCACCTCAACAGCCCCTCTTCAGCCCTCTTACTAATACAGTACTTTCATTAACTCCACACCTTCTAATTTCCACACTCTGAATTTTCTGCATAATATTTACACCACACATTGCCCTTAGACAGGACATTTCCACTGCCTCCAACCACCTCCTTGCTGCTGCATTTTTTCTCATTTTTATATTATTTTATATAATTTTTATGTTCTGATAATTACAATTTATTGTAGTTCTTGTCATTTCATAACCAATCTTTGTTCTGACACTAATATTAAGTACTGAAATTGTACTCAAATTGCCACAAACACATTGAAAGGTGAACATTTACACCTGCCTTGGTCATTTACTATTGTCTGGAAATACAGTGGAACCTCAAATTTCGAACTTAATCCATTCCAGGAGCTAGTTTTAAATTCGAAAAGTTTGAAAAGTGAAGCAGTATTTCCCATAAATAATGAAAATACAATTAATTCGTTCCAGAAACCCAAAAATATTCACAAAAAAAAAAAAACATTTTGTAGAGATTAATTATAGTTTTACATACACACAACAAATATAGTGTACAGTTATGTATTAATAAATTTAAATAAACATATAAAATAACATTTTTACTTACCTTTATTAAAGATTGGTGATGGTATCTAGAAGATAGGAGGAGAGAGGGAGTTGAAGTTAGTGTTTGGAAGGGGAATCCCCCCCCCATGAGGACTTTAGGTATCAAAGCCCTCTCTGGGGTTACTTCCCTTCTCTATCTTTTAATGCCACTAGGACCAGCTTGAGAGTCACTGGACCTGTGTCTCACAAAATAACTGTCCACAGTCCTCTGTTTCTGGCGCCTCTTTAAGATTTCCTTAAAATGGGACATGGTTTTGTCACTTAACTTGTTGCAAAGATGGCTTGTTTCAGCTTGCTCAGGGTGGTACTTCTCCACAAACATTTAGACATCGTTCCAGTTGGTGCAAATCTCCTTAATCTTTGAAGAAGGCACCTCATCCACTCCCTCTTCCTCCTCTGAAGCAAGTTCCTGAGCTGTGGTCTGATACTGTTCCAAATGAAGCTTTTCTAGCTCTTCAGTGGTTAGCTCTTCTCTGTGGTCCTCCACCAACTCTTCCACATCCTCGCCACTAACCTCCAGCCCCAGGGTGTTCCCCAGTCCCACAGTAGAGTCAACAACAGGCAGAGGGTCAGCTGGGTCAGGGTCAGGGTCAGCCTCAAACCCTTCAAAATCCCTTTTTTGGACACAATCTGGCCACAATTGTCTCCAAGCAGAGTTCAAAGTCCTGGAAGTCACTCCTTCCCAAGCCTTACCTATAAGGCTTATGGCACTGTAGATATTGAAATGATTCCTCCAGAACTCTCTTAAGGTCAACTTAGTGTCTGTGGTCACTTAAAAGCACTTTTCAAACACTGCTTTTTGTGTAGAGTTTTTTGAAGTTAGAAATGACCTGCTGGTCCATGGGCTGGAGGAGAGGAGTGGTGTTAGGAGGCAAGAACTTCACTGCTATAAAACTGAAGTCCCTAGACAAGAGGTCTACTAAGTTTGGAGGATGAGCAGGAGCATTGTCCATTAACAGGAGGCACTTGAGTGGCAAATTATTGTCTAGGAGGTATTTTCTCACACTGGGGCCAAACACTTCATGGACCCACTCTGAAAATTTGCCTTGTGACCCATGCCTTATTTGCATTAGCACAGAACAAAAGAGTTAGCCTGTCAAGAACCTTAAACACCTGTACAAACTTCTCAGCTGCCTGTTTGTCTGAACTGGCTGCCTCACCATGCCTTACAACATTGTGTATGCCACTACGCTTCTTAAATCTGTCAAACCAACCTCTGCTGGCCTTAAATTCACTATCAGTACTGGTTCCAGGAGTTTTCTGTACCAGATTAGCATGCAACTTCCTTGCCTTTTCACAAATAATCGTCTCTGAAACACTATCACCTGCCATCTCTTTATCCTTGATCCACACCAGCAACAACTTCTCAACCTGATCGATTGTCTGTGGTCTTTTTTTGGTTAGCATGTTAACACTTTTTGCAGCATCAGCTTCCTTCATTTGTTCTTTCTTTGCCAGGATAGAAATGATGGTCAACTTGTTTTTCCCATACATCCTGGCAAGCTCAGCAAGTTTCACACCACTCTCATACTAATTCTGTATTATTTCCTTCTTCACATCTATGGTGTTTCTCACTTTCTTTACCACAGGGTTACCACTAGCAAGTTTCTTTGGGCCCATGGTAGCTTATTTCACGGTCCCACAAACACTAAACATAATGAATTAATTGTAAAATGTTTGAATGAGAGTGCAGGTTAGTGTTCACTCAAGCATCAACAAAGCCAGACTGGTTCACGGCACCTACACAGGGACGCGGACAGAATGGGCTGGCGGACAGGTCCGGTACCTGGCGGTTTGAAAATAGGGGCGAGTTCGATAATAGGGACAAAGTTGGTTAGAAAAAAGCGGTCGATTTTTGAAGAGTTCGATAAGCGATACATTCGAAATTTGAGGTTCCACTGTACATACAAAGTATTTATAGGTCCCAGCAATGTTTTGGATACACTGGAGTATAGAAGAAGAAGAAGGAAAAAGGAAGAAGTTCCCCTGAAGCAATGCATAAGACAAGTCAGTGACAAGCATCGGAGGGCAGTGATAAGATGAGATAAGCATGACATTTGATGGGCGCCAGCAAGGGTGCAGAGATAAGATGAGATAAGGGATGACATTTGATTGGCACCAGCAAGGGTGCAGAGATAAGGGGTGACATTTGATGAGCTGGTTTCTCTGTCACTGATTATCTGTCTCTCTGTCTTGTCTCTCTATCTGCTTGTCTCTTTCTGTCTCTCTGCTTGTCTCTCTCTCTGTCTCAGAGAGAGCCACTGTGAACCAACAGGTATTCTTATGCATTATATCTACAAACACAGTATAGCACTTCAGATTTTTTTAGGTTATCCTGGGTAATTTACACTATGTATAATTGTATTTGTGTGTACCTGTGAGACAGATAAAAAGAGACAGAGACAGATAGACAGAGATAGACAGACAGACAGACAGATACAGACAGAGATAGAGACAGATAGACAGACCCTAAACTTGCAGTTAACATCACTTGAAAAGGGAGTGTTAATATGACATTACATCAGTGAATCCTTGGTGTTTGCTGCACTGTTTGCTCTAGCTGGTGCTCATTTTAACTGGCACTCCCACAAAGTACTAAGTGGTCCCAGATTTTTTTAATATGCTGTAAACCGAGTGTTAAGACCCATTCTATGCTGACCAGGCATCTCAGGCCAATCATGCCAAATTTGGAGGCAGGAAAAATAAAACATATATGTATATACCTGGGAGACCTGGGAGTGATCATGTTGGAGGATCTCACCTTCAAGGACCATAACATTGTATAAATCGCATCTACTAGAAAAATGATAGGATGGATAATGAGAACCTTCAAAACTAAGAATGCCAAGCCCATGATGACACTCTTCAGGTCGCTTGTTCTATCTAGGCTGGAATATTGCTGCACACTAACAGCACTTTTCAAGGCAGGTGAAATTGCTGACCTAGAAAATGTACAGAGAACCTTCACGGCACGCATAACGGAGATAAAACACCTCAATTACTGGGAGCGCTTGAAGTTCCTGAACCTGTACTCCCTGGAATGCAGGCGGGAGAGATACATGATTATATACACCTGGAAAATCTTAGAGGGACTAATACCGAACTTGCATACGAAAATCACTCAACGAAAGCAAAAGACTAGGCAGACGCTGCAACATCCCCCCAATGAAAAGCAGGGGTGTCATTAGCACGTTAAGAGACAGTACAATAAGTGTCAGGGGCCTGAGACTGTTCAACTGCCTCCCAGCATACATAAGGGGGATTACCAATAGACCCCTGGCTGTCTTCAAGCAGTCACTGGACAAGCACCTTAAGTCGGTACCTGACCAGCTGGGCTGTGGCTCGTATGTTGGATTGCGTGTAACCAGCAGTAACAGCCTGGTTGATCAGGCTCTGATCCACCATGAGGCCTGGTCACGGACCGGGCTGCGGGGGCATTGACCCCCGGAACTCTCTCCAGGTAAACTCCAGGTAATACATTTGGGGTGCTAGCGGTAAGAACGTATATATACGTTTGGACCGTTTAGGGGTTAATATTATGTTGGATATTTCTAAGTTAAGTTTTGACTTTGGTTGTTCATATTTAAAAGATATACTAATGTTTATTGTATTTCTGTGTGATACCTTGGGGAGCCCACCTGGAATGTGCCACACCTGTTCTCGTCCTAATGCCTATCTCTCCTATCCCTGTTATACTCTTTAATTAAACATTGTGCCCAGTTCAACCTCCTTCACCTATAATCACACATTGTTGCCCTATTAATTTGATGCACAAGTGCCAGCTGGAGCATGTGCCCAGCTCGACTGCCACCTCTTAGTGTACATGTCTTACTTTTCTCTCCCTCAGGATAATTTTTCTATCCTTTTCCTATATAAGAAGGTGCCTGTGTACCTCACTCAAGAGTAGAACAGTGATGGGTATAAATATACTAAAGGGCTCTCACTGAGACAGAAGCACATATTTATAAAATACAGTTTTGTAAATTTTATGCATATAGGAAATTTTTCATACTTTCACCAAAATTATACCTTTCTAAAAATATTATTATGTATATTATAATTAGTAGTCCCTGTGTGTATTATCTAGATTATTTAAAACTGTTAATTTTTTAATCTTTTACCAAGTCATTTATTCAAATATTTTATTCCAAAGACTTAATATATTACATTTTATAGCTGTTTACATTTGTAACGAAACTCATATAAAGTATCTCGGCATGAACGGTCATTAAATACAGTAACTACTGCATATAAAACCATAAATATAACTTTTTTTACATAGAGGATGTAACTAATTCAAGGTCAGTAATTACAGTTGCTCATGCATCTTTCTTTTAACTAAGGAGGTAATATTTACAGGGAATTTTAATCAGTGAAGCAGTAAGTGTTTGTAAAAAATGTATAGCACCGAAGTCACCTCGCACACATCATTGCTCAGTGTGTAACCGCTGCATTCTCAAGATGGATCATCACTGCCGTATCCTTTTCAAGCCACACCATTTGATGTGGGTGTTTTAATTTAGTGTGCTAGTATAGTATTTTTGGTATCCATATAATAAATGTTGCTTCATATTTGGTCTCATTTTTGTGTTTCAGAGGTCATAACTCTTTAATTATTGCACTAATGTCTCAAATATTATTCATAAGAAAGAATGTACGTATACAAATGAAATGAAATTTGAGTGTGGCCCTCTTACAAGAAAGTGTACTTAACTAAATACTGTATTGTGGCTGTGTTCTGTTTATTAATCACTGTTTAATACTATTAGTAAGTGAAAATGAACAGTACCACCTCTAAAATATTAAGTAGATATTGTCAGTAAAAAATAGGCAAAATTAAATACAGAATATTATGGCTGGGGAATTCATCCAATTATAAGATGGGTGTTTGCATGAAAATAGATTCTGAGTTCTGAACAACTGACTAAGAACAATTTTCAGGAATGAATTAGCACTATAAGTTGGTGCCCTACAGTACCATACATTTTTTTTTAACACGCTTTCCATCTCCCACTGAGGCAGGGTGACCCCAAAAAGAAAGAAAGAAATACTTTCACCATCTCTCACACATAAATCACTCTGCAGAGGCGCTTAGATACGACAGTTCAGATGTCACGCCAAATAGCAAATATCCCAAAGCCCTCCTTTAGAGTACAGGCACTGTACTTCCCACATCAGGATTCAAGGCTGGCTCACCAGTTTTCCTGAATCCCTCCACAAAATATTACCCTGCTCACACTCCAACTCACCTAGTCCCAAAATCCACATGTCTCCACTCACTCCAATCTAACATACTCACACATGCCTGTTGTATGTCCAAGCATATTCTGTATATACAGTGGAACCTCTACTTGTGAGTTTAATCCATTCCATGACCTTGCTCGCAACTAGATTTTCTCGTTTGCAGAGTCAATTTTCCTCATTTAAATTAACTGAAATGTAATTAATCCGTTCCAGTTCAATTCTGTACTTCAATAATTTCACTAATATCAACTCTATGGCTTATTTATCTATCTCACTTCATCTAATATGACATAATAAACAATATAAATAACCTAGAAACCTGATACATACTCTAAAATGAATAAAATATGTCATTCATGTAGTGGTATGGGCAGTGTCGGCGGTGGACGAGAGTTTGTCTGGAGAGGGGGCAAAATACTTCATGAATAATTTCGCTAATATCATCTATACAGCTTATTTATATATCACAGTTCATCTAATATGACCTAAACAATATAAATAACATAGAAATATGTTATATATTCTAAAATGAATAAAATATGTCATTATGCAACAGGTGGAGGTGGCCACAACCGCTCCCTCTTTGTTGTGGTAAACACTGCCATCTACTGACGGCCTTTTGAAGCCGTCTATTATTATAATTATTATATGTAGTACAGTGGACCCCCGGTTAACGATTTTAATCCGTGCAAGAGGGCTCATCGTTATGCGAAATAATCGTTATGCGAATTAATTTTCCCCATAAGAAATAATGGAAATAAAATTAATCCGTGCAAGACGCCCAAAAGTATGAAAAAAAATTTTTTTTACCACATGAAATGTTAATTTTAATACACACAAACTGAAAAAGGCATGCACAATTACATGACACTTACTTTTATTGAAGATCTGGTGATGATTGATGGGATGGGAGGAGGGGAGAGCATTATCTTCTTACTGTTTAGAAGGGGAATCCCCTTCCATTAGGACTTGAGGTAGCAAGTCCTTTTCTGGGGTTACTTCCCTTCTTCTTTTAATGCCACTAGGACCAGCTTCAGAGTCACTGGACCTCTGTCGCACAACAAATCTGTCCATAGAGCTCTGTACCTCCCGTTTCTTCAAGACTTTCCTAAAATGGGCCATAACATTGTCATTGAAATAGTCACAAGCACGGCTTGCAACAGCTGTGTCAGGGTGATTTTCATCTATAAAGGTTTGCAGTTCAAACCACTCTGCACACATTTCCTTAATCTTTGAAGTAGGCACAATGGATTCCACAACTGGCATAGGCTTCTCAGGGTTAGCCCCAAACCCTTCAAAATCTTTCTTAATTTCCATACTAATTCTCACCCTTTTTACCACAGGGTTGGCACTAGAAGCTTTCTTGGGGCCCATGGTCACTTATTTTCCAGAAACACCACCGAAAACACTGTAATAATACGAAATATTCCGAGTGTATGCTTGGATGTTACCGCGGAGGCTGGCTGGTAAACAATGGGACGGCCGGCACATGTGAGGGCACATTGGACGCGTCTCGGACGAAAATCGGTATGCGGGTTTTTAATCGGTATGCGGGGCAAAAATTTTGCGATAAAAGTAATCGTTATGCGGAAAAATCGCTATGCGATGCCATCGTTATGCGGGGGTCCACTGTACATTATTATTATATATATTATTATTCATATATTATTATTATTATTATTTCATTATATTATTATTATACGTATTATTACTATACATATTATACATTTTTTTTTTTCAACAAGTCGGCCGTCTCCCACTGAGGCAGGGTGACCCAAAAAAGAAAGAAAATCCCCAAAAAGAAAATACTTTCATCATCATTCAACACTTTCACCACACTCACACATTATCACTGTTTTTGCAGAGGTGCTCAGAATACAACAGTTTAGAAGCATACACATATAAAGATACACAACATATCCCTCCAAACTGCCAATATCCCAAACCCCTCCTTTAAAGTGCAGGCATTGTACTTCCCATTTCCAGGACTCAAGTCCGACTATATGAAAATAACCGGTTTCCCTGAATCCCTTCCCTAAATATTACCCTGCTCACACTCCAACAGATGGTCAGGTCCCAAGTACCATTCGTCTCCATTCACTCCTATCTACACAAAAAATATAAGATTTACTGTTATTCCTTATTGCAATAATTGTATAAATAATGTCAACCCATTCACGACTGCATATTGGAATGTTTACTCTGAAACAGCCAAGCAATGGACCATTTCTCCTAGGTTGAGCTCTATTTCAAGGTACTTTTTGTCATGAAAGCAATCAAAATCATATCTATTTCTGTAATATATCTTCCACTGTATTCTGCATGTATTTTCTTAGTACTCCACTGTTAATTAAATAGTAATCTTTTCTCTGTATTGTAGAAATTAATTTAATAAAATTCCTTAAATAAAAACCCAGCTTGGCTCAACAACTGTGTGGGGCACTTTAACCACCGTTATTTCTATATGTATATGGTATATATGACATTGGGGACAATTTTCATCATAACACTTGGTTTTGAAATAGCATACAGTGAGATATGGCTAGGTGGAGAAATGGGTGTAGGATTAAGTGATGCCCTGGATTTGGTGATGAATGACAGTACCCCCCAGGAACAGGATGAGTTAGAAGGCTACCCAGTAAGGATCAACGGTACTCACATGATGCCTGTGGGAGTTGTATTTTTATAATGCAGTACAGTACAGCCTCTCCTCACTTAATGACAGAGTTCCGTTCCTAACACCATGTCAGTAAATGAATTCATCTCTAAGCAAGGAGCATACTATAATGGTAGTAGGTTTGTATCAACCTTCTTTGATATTGTTTTAATGTCACCTCTGCACCATTTATAACTTTTTTAGTATATTTTTAAATGATTGTACAGAAGTGTACTGTATATTGTAATAAACAGATTACAGGAAATCCATTCTAATATGCATTATTTAGGTATGCATACTTGTCAGAGAGCCCGTCGTAAGTCTGAGCCATCAGTAAATGAGTACGTCACTAAGTGAGGAGAGCTTGTATATTATACTTAAGTTTGGATTTACCCCTTTCAGGCTCCAGAGGCCAAATCTCAAAGGGTACACCAAGTTCCAAGAATTTAAAAAAAAAAAAAAAAAAAATTATTTTTTCTTACAGAATTAAAGATAATAATTTTTTGTAGGTAATAAAACAATTTTTTTTTTTTCAATCAGTAGTTACTGAGATATAAAGGCATGAAGTTGACCCTCAATGATCTGGTGGCAGCAACATCTGGGACTCTCGTAAAGTCTCATTATTTTATTTTAGATTTTTGTTTCTTTTTTCATTTCTGATATTTTTTTCCAGTAACTTTTGTGGCCTGTGAGACAAATATTTTTTTTTTTTTTAACTAGCCCCTTGCTCCCGGCATTTTAGTCGCCTCTTACAACACGCATTGCTTACGGAGGAAGAATTCTGTTCCACTTCCCCATGGAGATAAGAGGAAATAAACAAGAACAAGAACTAGAAAGAAAATAGAAGAAAACCCAGAGAGGTGTGTAAATATATGCTTGTACATGTATGTGTAGTGTGACCTAAGTGTAAGTAGAATTAGCAAGACGTACCTGAAATCTTGCATGTTTATGGGAGCAACAAAAAAGACACCAGCAATCCTACCATCATGCAAAACAATTGCAGGTTTTCGTTTTACACTCACTTGGCAGGACGGTAGTACCTCCCTGGGTGGTTGCTGTCTACCAACCTACTACCTACAAAATAAAATGTATAATGTATAAATGTACACTCATGTATTCAACACAGTAACTGCACTAATTTGTTTATCATTATATTGCTTACAAAAACTCATTTACAAGTTTAATGTAAACAAAATAATGATAAAAATATTAGTGCGGTTGTGTTGAATACAACGGTATCGTGTAGTACCATATTGTACAATTGTACCATAGGGTACAGTGGTACCACATGGTACAATGTACCATATGCTACAGTGGTACCATATGGTACAGTGGTACCATATGATACAATGGTACCATATGGTACAATGGTACCATATGGCACAATGGTACCATATGGTGCAGTGGTACCATATGGTACAATGATACATGGTACAATGTACCATATGGTACCATTGTAACATGCACCATTGTACCATATGGTACCATTGTAACATGTACCTTTGTACCATATGGTACTGTATGGTACTGTTGTATTCAACACAACCACACTAATATTTTCATCATTATTTTGTTTACAATAATTGTTTGAATAATTGAGACACTTATGCAACATATGGGAATCTTACATCTGTCAGATATGGCATCATCATGGTATCTTGATACAAAGAATTCTTCAAAACTTGTCCAATCTTTGGATGAAGACCTACTTAGACTAGTGGATGGTTCCACTATGACCTCGCCTCCTCCTGCTTCGCCTCACCTGACTACAGTATACATGTATAAGCCACTGCTTCGGCCCTTTGCTGTACTTTCTACAAGATTGACGGACTGAACACATTGACTCCAGGCTGAGGGACTGATTACCTCAAATTCCTCCTCTCCTTATACCTTCCTGCTTTGTATAAGACTGATGAAGCCACTGTGTAGCGAAACGTTTCTTCATCAAAGATTCCCATATGTTGCATAAGTGTCTCAGTTCTTCAACTTGTCGATTTTCTAAACCACTCATCACACAATAATTGTGTACAACAAAAAAATGCAAAAATGTTGTATATGTATTAGTAATTTTTATTAGATATTTTTACATGTGTACAGCCACTGGACATGTTCCTAGTACCATATGGTACTAGGGTACTATATAGTACCCTGTAACATGTGATACCCTGTACCACATGGCCAGTAGGTGGTGTTGGTGCCACAAGGCACCAGCCAGGACTGAGTGAGCGAGTGTGGGACACAAGCCACTTACTCAGCAGTTTCCAGGACAAAGAGCTTCATCATCCATCTCTAGGAACATGTCCAGTGGCTGTACACATGTAAAAATATATAATAGAACATTACTAATATGTATACAGTATTTTTGCATTTTTTGTTGTAAACAATTATTGTAAACGAAATAATGATGAAAATATTAGTGCGGTACCATATGGTACAGGGTACCATATGGTACAGAATACCATATGGTGCAGGATAGCATATTGTACAGGATACCATATGGTGCAGGGTACCATATGGTACCAGACCCATTCTCTTAGATGTAGGCCTACCAGCCTTCTCGAGCTAAATTTGAGGCCGCTAGAATTTTGGCATAGTTCTACGGTTTGGACCCACAACTCAAAGCCATAGAACTATGGCACTAACCCTGAAAGGGTTAAAATATCAAATTATGAATTCCCAGCACTCTACAGATATGTATATCATTATATATTTTTCAAGTCAAGCCATGACTGGGTTGGAAAATTTTTAACTTAGGTTTAACATTAATATAGAAGATTGTTGGTGATGGCTTAAGTGTGGATATAAACAGTGTTGGACTTCTCAAGCAGAAATTACAAGAGTAATGTTACTATAATTATGAGGACGAATTACACTTAAATGAAATTTATTATGCTGATGAGACTAAGGTTTGGTTAATCAATGCATTTTCAGTTTAAGCAGTGAGCTCAGGTTTCCAGCTACAGTACAGCCTCTCCTCACTGAACAACGTACTCGTTTATCGACGACTCGGACTTAAAACGGGCTCTCTGACCAGTATGCATACCAAAATAATGTATATTAGAGCTGATGTCCTCTATTCTGTTCATTACAATATACAGTACACTACTGTATAAGCATTTAACTTTTTTTTGTTGTCAACAAGTCAGCCGTCTCTCACCGAGGCAGGGTGACCCAAAAAGAAAGAAAATCCCCAAAAAAGAAAACACTTTCATCATCATTCAACACTTTCACCTCACTCACACATAATCACTGTTTTTGCAGAGGTGCCCAGAATACAACAGTTAAGTATATACGTATAAAAATACACAAAACATATATCCCTCCAAACTGCCAATATCCCAAACCCCTCCTTTAGAGTGCAGGCATTGTACTACTTCCCATTTCCAGGACTCAAGCCCGGTTATATAAAATAACTGGTTTCCCTGAATCTCTTCACTAAATATTACCGTGCTCACACTCCAACAGCTCGTCAGGTCCCAAATACCATTCGTCTCCATTCACTCCTATCTAACACACTCATGCACGCTTGCTGGAAGTCCAAACCCCTTGCCCATAACACTTCTTTTACCCCCTCCCTCCAACCTTTTCGAGGACGACCCCTACCCCGCCTTCCTTCCCCTACAGATTTATACACTCTCCATGTCATTCTACTTTGATCCATTCTCTCTAAATGACCAAACCACCTCAACAAACCCTCTTCAGCTGTCTGACTAATACTTTTATTAACTCCACACCTTCTCCTAATTTCCACACTCCGAATTTTCGGCATAATATTTACACCACACATTGCCCTTAGACAGGGCATCTCCACTGCCTCCAACCGCCTCCTCACTTCAGCATTTACAACCCAAGCTTCACACCCATATAAGAGTGTTGGTACTACTATACTTTCATACATTCCCTTCTTTGCCTCCATAAATAACATTTTTTGCCTCCACATATACCTCAATGCAGCGCTCACCTTTTTTCCTTCATTAATTCTATGATTAGCCTCATCCTTCATAAATCCATCCGCTGACACGTCAACTCCCGAATATCTGAAAACATTCACTTCTTCCATACCCCTCCTCCCCAATTTGATATCCAATTTTTATTTATCTAAATCATTTGATACCCTCATCACCTTACACTTTTCTATGTTTGCTTTCAACTTTCTACCTTTACACACTCCCAAATTTGTCCACTAACCTTTGCAATTTTTCTTTAGAATCTCCCATAAGCACAGTATCATCACCAAAAAGTAACTGTGTCACTTCCCATTTTGTATTTAATTCCCCATAATTTAATCCCACCCCTCTCTCGAACACCCTAGCATTTACTTCTTTTACAACCCCATCTATAAATACATTAAACAACCATGGTGACATTACAAATCCCTATCTAAGACCTACTTTTACTGGGAAGTAGTCTCCGTCTCTTCTACACACCCTAACCTGAGCCTCACTGTCCTCATAAAAACTCTTTACAGCATTTAACAACTTACCACCTATTCCATATACTTGCAACATCTGCCACATTGCTCTCCTATCCACTCTATCATATGCTTTTTCTAAATCCATAAATGCAATAAAAACTTCCCTACCTTTATCTAAATACTGTTTACATATATGCTTCAATGTAAACACATGATCTACACATCCCCTACCCACTCTAAAACCTTGCTCATCCACAATTCTACATTCTGTCTTACCTCTAATGCTTTCAATAATAACCCTACTGTACACTTTTCCTGGTATACTCAGTAAACTTCTTCTTTCTTTCAACACACCGGCCGTATCCCACCGAGGCGGGGTGGCTCAAAAGGAAAAACGAAAGTTTCTCCTTTTACATTTAGTAATATATACAGGAGAAGAGGTTACTAGCTCCTTGCTCCCGGCATTTTAGTCGCCTCTTACAACACGCATGGCTTACAGAGGAAGAATTCTGTTCCACTTCCCCATGGAGGTAAGAGGAAATAAACAAGAACAAGAACTAGAAAGAAAATAGAAGAAAACCCAAAGGGGTGTGTATATATATGC